GCTGATTCAGATTATAAAAAATATATTTATTGGATAACAAACCTACTTGTAAATGATGAAATGATAAATGTATCAAAAATACCAATGTACCAAACTGCATTTACTGTTACGAGTTTGATTGAAAAGGCACCAGTATCATCCTTATGAAATGCCACTTCTGTCTAATCATTTCCAGTCCATGACAGCTGGGATTTGTTTGTTTTGTTATTTTTTCTGAATCTAAATCCCCCTGCTTTTAGCCAGTTGTTTACATTCTTTTCTTCATATCAACTTCTGTTTCAGCCAACTATTTTTCATTTCTTTTATTCTGCTGTTTCTATCTTAAAGCAATACGCACTTATCCCAAAGTAATTCATTACAACAACTTAAAACATAACGTGGCCCCCTGACTGTGAATAATATTCACACTGTTGAATGGCACAGCCTGAGCCCTAATTTTCGATACATAATCTGTGTAATGAGCGAAGGATTGATGGCAGAAGCATTAGAACCTCAAATGCTTGCATTTTCCTAAATGAGATGAATCATAGAAAATTTTATTAAAACTAATGCGCAACAGTTTTTTTTTATTTTTATAAATTTTTCAAAAATAAATTTAAGTGGCAGATGCTACTTATGCCTTTTGAGTGTATGTACACTTTTAGTTGCGATTCTATGCAGTCCTTTTTAAAGGAGACCCTTGGACTGTTAAAATGACTCATCTAAATGGTGTGACAGCTTTCGAAAAATTCCCCCCGTCTTCTCTATCTCATAATTAATGTTAGGCATTATGACTCAAAATTCTAGGTCATGAAGCCCCTATTTTAAACTGCTGAACGAGCATATTTTTAATAAGACTCTCGATAAAATTTTGAAGAAATTTTTCTCTTTTTTCCTAGTAGTAGTATTGTGTAGAATCATTTTTGGTGTTTTTATTTAATCTGTTTATTCTCACTTGATAAATATATAAGCAATACAAAATATTTCCTTGGTATTTCTCAACTGTTGGTAGTATAATATTTGACACAGAGAAAGCCTGAAGCAACAGAGAAGCTTTAACCTAGATTACATACCGTAGAAAGAACTCCTCCATAGTGCTTTTTGTGATAAATTGTGAGACCGAGACTGATTATTGACATACATGCTTTGATATAGATAATTGTAGGATGTCAGTGAGAATATCAGTTATATTTGCTTTCTGTTTCAATTTCATCATATTTATCATCAAACAGAACTTTGTTGCAAGGACTTTTGTGTGTTCATGTCTAATGAAGCAAAACACCCCTGTGTCAAAAAAAGGAAATACAAAATAGTCAGCAGTGCAACGTTGCAGCTGGTTATGGCCGCACTGTGTCACGCTCTGACCCTAATGGTACGGCTCAGCCAGTTGTGATACAGTTAGATCCTCTGCCCCAGGATTCAGCTGTCCGCCCTGCTTATGGTCATTCTCTGTTGGCAGTAAAGACCTGGCTCTGGTGCATGTAGATAGTTGAAGGTCAGTTCAGGTTCCTTGTCAGTTTGTTGTTGATGGAAACGCATATTTCTGTGTGCCTAAGTGGAAAATGTGATCCTGAGGAAGCATAGATTGCAAAGACAAGACAGGTTTGAATAGATACAATTTGCTAAAAGAACTTTACCCTTATGGACTCAACCTTCAGGTTTAACTATTGAAATTCGATTTTGTTCTGTTTAAGATAAAAATGTGAAAAGCCTCAAATGTAAAATGCCTCAAAATACTCGCACAGTAAACACACGTGTAAACAAGGTATTTCAAGGACAGGATAACAACTCAAAGATTATGAGATTGCTTTGGGACTTGAAAATGACTGGTGTTTAAAACAAATGTTAGAGATTTTACAAGTTTAACCATGTTAGGAAAAGTTTCATACATTCATCAAATAAAAATATCCAGGAAGTGTTCTCCTTCATGTATTGAATAATTAGAGAAACTTGCTATGTAACATCATCACAAACATGTGACATCATGTGGTTCAGATCAGTGAACATTAAGATTTTTCAGCGGCGTTAATCAAAAGACTTCAATTATTAGCTCAAAAATTAGATGCACTGACCTACTTTTACATAAGGTCTACAAAATTGTGGGAAAGATTGCTAATTTGGTGAGGTGAAAAAGTTTCGCCACACAAATTAGATCCAATGAAGGGCTGATCACTTCCATTTCATGCTCACTTAATGCAGAAGTTCATGCAAAATGAGCCCCAACCAAGTAAGTATGCAAACTTTATAGTACATGATTTTCATTATGCTTAGATTTCATTATAACAAAATCTTTATTTTTTTCTTATAGTGTATTTTCAGATAGTTTTAAGAACATCTTCAAAGTAACAAATTTGCAACTGAATAATCAATCCCTTGACTAGTCGCACATATTTAAACAATTTAATAAAAAAACTAAATAGAAAAATACATTATGTTTTCTAAGCACCAAATGTAAATGTCAGAAAGTCCCTCTGCTAAATGAACTATGATAGGAAGCACCCAGCTTTCTTTTTTCTACCTCCTTCTTTACTGTCAGCATGATTTGGACAGCTTTTATCACAAAGACAGCTGACACACTTTCCCTTTTGCTTAAGCTTTCTTAGTGATTTACTGTACTTGGATTAAGCCAAGTTATTCAGTTCTGCTAATGACCTGATTATTTGACTCAAGTGTGTTGAAGCAGAAAGACATCTAAAAGGTGCAGCACACCGAACCTCAAGGACTGGAATTAAAGAACCCTGTGTCAGAGGGTTCCTGGGTTAAACACACTCTAATGAAATAATGCAGCAATATCACGCACCCTCAGGACTCATTAAATCTCAAAGGTATTGGTTGGACACCTTTGAACTAAACTAACAGGCTGAACGAGGACGACATAATCAGATAAGTATCTAATAAGCCCTCATTAACTCTAGGGGATACTAATAGCAACAGCTTAGGTTAAACAATCTGCTAAAATGACAATTGAAAAACATCACAGAAACACATTTTCTATGGTGTTGATGTCTGGAGACTGGCTAGGCCACTCCAGGACCTTGAAATGCGTTTTATGGAGCCACTCCTTCGTTGCCTGGGCGGTGTGTTTGGGATCAAGGTCATGCTGCAAGATCCAGCCACATTTCATCATCTCAAGGCTCTCACTGATGGAGGGAGGTTTTGGCTTAAAAACTCATGATACATAAATCTCAAGATTCATTCTTCCCTCAACATGGATCATTTATCCTGTCCCCTTTGCAGAAAAACAGCCCAATAGTATGATGCTTCCTCCCCTTGCTACTCAGGTATGATGTTCTCAGGATGCAATTCTGCATTCTTCTTTCTCCAAACAGGACGAGTTCTATTTCGGTTTCATCTGACCACATGATATTCTCCCAATCCTCTTCTTGGTCATCCATATGCTCCCTGGCAATCTTCAGGCAGGCCTGGCCATGTACTGGCTTGAACAGGGGGACAATTCTGGCACTGCAGGATTTGAGTCCCTCTCGGTGTAGTGTGTTACTTATGGTAGCCTTTGTTACTTTGTTCCCAACTCTCTGCAGGTCATTCATCAGGTACCTCAGTGTAGTTCTGGGATTTTTTCTCACCATTCTCAGGATCATTTTGATCCCATGGATGAGATCTTGCATGGAGCCCCAGAACGAGGAAGATTATCAGTGTTCTTATATGTCTTCCATTTTCTTAGAATTGCTCCCATAGTTTTTTTTTTCACACCAAGCTGCTTGCCTATTGTAGATTCACTCTTCCCAGCATGGTGCAGGTCTACAATGTTGTTCCTGGTGTCCTTCGACAGCTCTTTGGTTGAGTTTAGAGTGTGACTGTTTGAGTTTTTTATACAGATAACAAGTTCAAACATGTGCCAATAATACAGTTAGCGAGTGGAGGACAGGAGAGCTTCTTAAAGAAGAAGTTACAGGTTTGTCAGAGTCAGACATCTTACTGGTTTGTGGGTGACCAAATACTTATTTTCCACCATAATTTACAAATAAATATTAAAAAAATCCTACAATGTTATTTCCTGCATTGTTTTTCCTAATTTTGTCTCTCATAGTTGAAGTGTACCTATGATTAAAAAAACAGAACCCTCTCATTATTCTAAGTAGAAGAACTTGCATAGCAGGCTGTGAATGTAACAACTCGCTCCATTCATATTGCCCCACGTTTCCTATTTAATTATTAATTCATTTTACAAGATTACATTAAAAAATGTCACTTTGTATCCCATTGCAAATGAGATACTAGCGTATAATACACGTATGCGATCCATTTTCAAAAACAGGATCTTACCACAATGATCATTTTATGTAAATTACTAAGTATAGTTAGTGTATGTTTTTATTATACTTTATCCCACTTTTTATCACACAATATGCAATCTTCGTCTCAGCGATTCCGTGGTAAAGTTGAAACAGACTACAGCATAGGCCTTGGCCTAGGTTTTAAGTCAAACATGAATTTAAATAAAGTCGGAGCAAACTGGAGCGGAGTTAAATCGTCGGCCTTTGACTTGAAAATTACTCTGCGCTCCACCATATTTCTTCCGCTCCTCTCCATGCTCCGCTCACACGCTCTGACATGTGCACAAAATGCTTTCCAGAACTTTACTTGTATTTTTTTTTCAACATTCAGAGCCAGGAAAATATCCTTATCTGCTTACAATTAAAGGTCAATTGTTTTCCCTACTTTACCTTGAAAGTGAAATAAACCTTTGTGGTAGCACACTTCATTGTAAAGTGAATTATTGTAAGGTGCGTACACATATTGTAAGTAAACTTTGCACAGAAGAAAAATACATTTTAAAGTATGATCAATGAAAGATATTTTCCAACCATTCAGAGTTGACATTTTTAGATATTGTGGTATAAGACTAATCGGCCGCAGCTGTTGTTATTCAGTTGCTTGTTGCCATGGCATCCTGCTGTTTTCCTATATTGACCGTGATTTCTTTACAGCTGAATTTAACCAGAAATACAACCTGCAACTGACAGGACCTTCATGCAGACTTATGCTTGTGTCCTCCCCAGGTTCTCACGATTCCTTCAGCTTTTACATTGATGAAGCATCTCCAGTGGGCCCAGAGCAGCCAGAGACGGTGCAGAACTTTGTGTCTGTTTTCGGTACAGTAGCCAAGAAGCTAATGAGAAAATGGTTGGCCACACAAACTATGAATTTCACTTGCCAGCTGGAGGCTGGGATCCGTTTCTTTGACCTGCGCATCTCAACCAAGCCCCGTGACCCTGACAACGAGCTCTACTTCGCCCACGGGCTCTTCAGCGCCACGGTCAGCAGAGTAGCACACAGCCCTCATGGGTTTTGATATACTGGCTTTTTAGTTATGTTTGTTGTTGCTTAATGATGTTATTTCATTTCCCTGCATTTGGTAGTTTATTTAAGCTTACTCTCAAGTGCAGACTGAGAGCCTAATCATTTAAGTCACTACAAGGGGTTCAAGTGGGAAGTCAGTTGATGTCAGGCAGCCAGTGAAAGGATTTCTTAATAGGGGGATTTTATGTGTCTGTTTTCAGGTACGGGAAGGTTTGGAGCAGATCAGCAGTTTCCTGTCAGCTCATGCCAAAGAGGTTGTTTTCCTGGACTTCAACCACTTCTACGGTGTACAGAACCTACATCATGAAAAGCTAGTGACCATGCTTAAAGAAGTGTTTGGAGAGAAACTCTGCCCAGTGATTTTTGCTCAAGAGGTACAAATGTGTTTAAATTCTAAAAAGGAGTGTAGCAGTAAGAATGTTCAAGTAAATTTGTGTTCATTATAGATTATTATCAGTATCATGTGTTTTATTTTAGGGGGCTTTTTAATTTAAACAACGTATCACAAATAGAATTTAATATAGATTTATGGTGGTGGTTCATTTTCATCTTCTCTGCCCTGTACAAAAGCCTGTTTATGTTTTGATCTCCTGTTTTCACTATGATGCTTATAATAAGTAGCCTGATAAACCATACTAAATGTGAGATTAAATGTGTAATTTAGTCTGGCCCTGACGAATGAGACAGAAGACGGAAGATTGTTGATGAGAACAACCCGTTGTTTTTCAAACCATATCTGTGCCTATTGGCCAACGCTTTGACAAATGAGCGCAACTGACTGTGATGTAGTAAGCGCGACAGAAAGCTGGTGGGGGAGTGTAAAAAAAACAGCCTGTCTGTAAAGCGGTGAATACTACCTTCTTAAAAATGAATGAGCATAGAGCCTCTTCCTGGTCTCGTTTTAACAAAAAAACCCAAGTGTAGTTTTTCCAAAACTGATTCCAAAGCTGAGTAAAACGAGAACTGTTCAATAGTTGTTGCCGTCTTTCTTGTTGGACTTTCTCCAGTTTCGCGCGGCTTTGTCGTCACGCCCTCAAAACCCTACCCGCTTTGCATCTACTCAAATTCATTTTTTGCCTGAATGATTCTAAATGACTTTCTCTTCACATCTTCCCAGCTTTTGGCTTATCACATATAGATGATACTTTCTCACTCTCTTATAATAGTGGCCTCCATTTAGGATTTCAATATTGATTTCTTTGTGACTGACAGAAATTGACAAATTATAAAACAATTGGTTGACATGTAGTTGGAAGTATTTTCTTTCCTCGCTTTTCCACATCTTAGCTGCTGCTAGAACTGCCCTCATGTAAGATATCAGAAGTTGTACCATCTAACCTTTACCTTTCCTGGTTCACATTGCTGCAATGACAACTATTACCATTGACGACATTTGTTATGTGCCATTTCATGATTCAATAAGTCCCTGGGCAGAGAGCAGTATAACTCATCCACCCCTCACCCCCCCGTGCTGGATTTTATTTTGATCATTACAGTCAAGTCTTGATGATGATGGGAAGCCTTTAAACCTGCACTTAGCTCATATGTTATTTCTAGATGGTTTATAGTAATCTCTTTGGAGTAAATGCATCCTGGGTCTTGCCCTTTGCTTCTGTAATGAGCTCAGAACTTAGGACCCAATACTCGAGGCCAGGGGAACTGTGGCAAGATTCAAAACGCTTAAAATTTTTTTTAGAAAATATAATCAGGATGTGGAGCTGTGCATCTGCAGCGGCAGCGGGGGAGGCAGGGGAACTGCCAACCACACAGGTAAGTAACTATGATAATCTGAAAGAAGATGATTATCCATGAGAGTAATTTACCTTGTTTAACAGTTCAGTCCGTCCCTTCAAAGTGAGGCAGGATCCAACCGATGGACTGCCAAACGAGTTGCGGCGGTTGCCGCCCAAAGTGAACCAGATGCTGCAGCCCCAGTAAACAAGCATGAATGCGAGCAAGGTCAGGGAAACAGTTCAGAACAGATAGGCTCAGAGATCCAGGAGTCCGTAACCTGGTAAGGGGTTCCGCTCAAAACAGGAACAGACAGGTCCAGGGTTCCAGTTCCAGAGAGTTTAGGCAGAACGTTCAGATGGGAACAGGCAAGCTCAGTAGTTGAGAGGCAGAAAAAGGAATGATAACAGGAAAACTATGGTACTTTAAAACTAGCTCCCTCCATTGAGAAAAGAACAGGAGCAGGCAACTATCGTTGAATAAGAGACCGGAAATGATCAGGAACGCTACGATAACTAAAAACCTCTCACCACTGGCCTCCGGGAATGAGAACATTAACTATGGAAGCTACAATGATCCCAACTCAACAAACACCATCAACCATCTGGCCCCGATAGCTGGGCCTGAGCCGTATATAAAGTTGCAGGAGCAGGTGGATGAGATGAGTGATAATGGGTAACTTGGCAGAGGAAGGCAGGTGAGGGAAATGAGCAATTAGGTCAGTGCTGAATCATGACAGCTTCAGCCTCTATTTTCCTTGGATCTAGAGTTTGCTTCTTTGCAGTTATGATAAGTACCTATATGCTTTCTGCTGCTCTTCAGCCATTACTCAGACTTCTGGAGTGAGTAGGTATTTTGCTCTGTGGTTCCTTGTGGTCCTCTCCTTGCAATCTGTTTCTGTTGCTTGAGAAATTAATTCTAACAGTTCCATTGTCTGCATCTTTGTAATGTAATTTGTTCTTACAATCCTGGATGGCGGCTCTTAGAATTACTAGTCTTTGGCATCCCTCTTGCAGCTTGGCATAAAATCACATGTTGTAGAAGAAATTTCTGTGTGCTTGTAAGGACAATGAAACACTGAATGCTTAAATTTTTCTGCTCATTTGTAGGTTAAATATTTCCTTGAATTAAACATGCACAGAGTAAAATATATAGAAACATTTCTTGTTCAAATCATTTTAGTATTTAATATTTTTTTGTGGATTTTGGAATATATTCCAAAATATATAGACGTTTTAGGGTTTGTAGGAGTCTTTTTGGTTTTATCAAAATGAATCAGCACTATGTATAAATATTGGATGATTCTGTAAATATTATCTCATGTACCGAAATGAAATGAAACAGTGGTAATGAGCTGTATTTCTATTGTCAAATTTAGTGGAACCCTAATGTATAATGTTCATTGTTTTGAGTTTTGGATCCTCTGTTATGCATATGATTTGGCTCTCTTAAACTGTTTTTTGTCTCACATTTTGTCTCACTACATTACTTTTTACCTTGAATGTTATGTGATTGAGCCTAGGTGACCCTGAAATATCTTTGGGAGAAGGAGTACCAGGTGCTTGTCTTCTATCACCACCCCATGGCCCTAGAGGTGCCCTTCCTCTGGCCTGGCCAGATGATGCCTGCTCCGTGGGCAAACACCACTGACCCAGAAAAGCTGGTTCAGTTTCTCCAGGCATCTGTAACTGACCGCAGGTTTGTGGCAGACTTCAATTGGCAACTCAAATACAATTTTCATCAGATTACATACAAGCCACCTAAGCATAAATGTTATGTTATTTTATTCGTCTTTTATTACTGTATTTGTACTGATTAATTTGTATGAATTTCTTTAAATCGTGCAAAATCAAATTTATGTCTATAACCTCCAATATTATCTCCATTCCAAGTCTTCTTTGTATAAATGTCAATTAGCAGGTTGCAGGGATATATTTTTCATATACCTTAAGATTCTGTCATTATTTCAGTTGGATAACTAACATGCTTTCTCTGCATTACCATTCCAAGGTTTCCTGTCGCTGGCTTGACTTTTAAGCAAAGGCTATGTATATTTAATAAGAGTTAGGTCAGGGTCATTGCAGACGCTTGATATCAGTCAAGTCTATCTATAAAGCAAGGCTTTTATATGTGTTTATTAACAGCTTAAAAAGATGCTCAAATATCAAGTCAGTGCCAGGAAACCTTCCTGTTTACATACAGTGAATTTATCTGCAAAGAAAAATGTTCATAAATACTGCCAGATAATGTAAACAGTTTGCTGATGGCTAACTAAAATGGTTCCAAATTGCAAAGGTATTAGGTACCTTTACATAATTACCTTGCAAAGGTATTAGGCAAAGGTATATATATATATATATATATATATATATATATATATATATATATATATATATATATATATATATATATATATATATATATATATATATATATATATATATATATATATATGCATAGTTTTTAAGCCTGCACAATAAAAAAAAATTACATTTCAACTAAGTACAGGTTTTCAAGTACATCATTGACATCTGTTGTGCCATCATTTCACCAAGAAAGAAATATTTTGTATGAATCTTAAACCCATTAGTATGACATCATCCCCATTATAAGCATATCTGTTTTATTTCCAAAAATAAGATGAATGCTTGATTCAAACAAAAGAGGCTGTTCTGTTAAGAGTCATGTATTTTGGTGGTTTCTGTTTTACCTTCCTCTGATTCAGAGGAAACTATCATAGTTATTTAATTGTATTTACTATTGTGGAAAGTAAAGATTAAAATCATTTTAAATCTTAAAAGGAGGCAAATCCAACAAAAATCAGCTCATGTCTGTAAGAATAGTAAATAGTCAAACGCTCCCTAATTACAGTGTTATTAATACATAGGAGGAGAATTTGGCAAAAAGCACTAAATGTGATATGTAAAAACATGTAAAACATTTTTTTAAGTGGCAATTCAGACAGAAGCATTATTCCAAAACTAGCAAAATAGTTGGGTTAAAAACAAGAGTTTAAAAAAGTGTCATTTTTTTTTCTGCAGGAGGAAGGGGACATTCTTTGTCTCCCAGGTGGTGTTAACACCGAAGGCAAGCACTGTGATGAAGGGAATGGCCAGCGGACTGAGGGAGACGATAACAGAAAGGTTTGTTTTCCAGAGACACACAAAAAAAAGGCTTTTTAATGTTTGTTTTCGGCATAATGACAGGGCATGCAAATCATGCAGAGTTTGCACCAATTAGGACACAGTGCAATAAACAGCTGGCACTCTGGGACCATAACTGTTGTAACACCTCAAGCGCCAGTGGTCTCTAAGGTGGGATAATTTACATATAACAACTCGCAGTGTGGGTACACACAGATACAAATATGTGAGCCACTGTGGCATAAAATAACTTCATCAACATGAGTATTGGTTTTTACACATGTCCCCTGGCATTTGACACTGACCTCATTTGAGCTGGTTTGTTGCTTTTAAAAAACAACCATATTTTTTTTTCCCTCATCGCTCGATTTGTATCCCCCCCAAGTTGCAGGATTAATTTTCTGAAATTCTGCTTTGTCTATTTTTCTATCTGTCACCAGTCTGTTAAAGCTTTGGCACCAAAACCCAAACTTTTGTTTTCCTTGCATGAATTATTCACTGCGACAGGCTGGCAACCTGTCCAAGGTGTACCCCACCTTTCGGCCATAGACTGCCGGAAATAGGCACAGGCCCCACCACATTTGCTGACGGATTAAGTGGGAGAAGATGGATGGATGAATGAATTATTCATTTGATAATTTGTCTATCTACAATTCACACCAGGCAGCTAGCTACTTTGATGCACACATCCTTCAAAATTGCAAGGGTTCATTTCACAAAACGAAACCTCACAAGAAAGCAACCATGCTCCACAAGGGGGGGAGGAAGAAAGCTCCTACAATTCTATCAGCCAGAAATATGTGAAGCAAGGTACTGTGAAGATAATGTCCTTCCCTGGTGTTTGACATCTATGAACATGTCCAATGTGCGCTCAGCGTGCACTTCTCACAGCTTGACACTAGCTGTGAGAAGGACACCCAGAAGTCAGACATGACATGCTGTGTGAAAATATATCTTATATCACTCCTCACTCTTCTCTGCACAAAAATGATCAATCCATTTCCCTGAAAAACCATACAGTGCTGTACTGTACCTCTTTTTGTTGTTGTTTTTATTTTGCATTTTAGAAACAACAAGGTTAGCCAAACGATGGTGAGAGAATAAATAGTGCACAGTCACACACAAGATGTCAAAGGTATACGAACAATACAAGAGTGCACAACTATCAAACCAATAAGGACAGAGTAAATACAATGAGGTCATGAGTGTGAAAGCCAGCAAATAAAATGACAGTTTTAAATGGGATGTATGGGGCTAAGAAAAAGTATTTATCTACTTCATTAGGGACAGTACTTGCTGTTTTTCGCACAATTACATATTTTGACCCAATTTCATGCTCAGATGTACAATAACATGTGTAATTACAAAAGATACAAAGCTATCCACATCACCTTGGCCCAAATTGGCTCTATACCTAATTAGGGAATGTGGCACCATTGGCAACAAATAGCATCAGTAGGTAATGAAAAGTCCTTTACATTGCAATGATAAAAATTGTTGCCGAATTGCACCAAAGCTTAAGGTGAAAACTGAGTCAATATTCTCCTTCAGGATTTTTTGAATGGAGGCAGATCTCGACAACGTCCTGAATCAGATCATCAAACTGTCACAACTCTCTGACTGTAAATCTGATGCTCTTATTGTGAAGTGCTGTGTGAACCTTATAATAGATGATACAAGATGCACACCTTTTTGCTCAGCGGTGCTGTGTGCTTCCATACTCTCCTCTTGGCGTCATTTTATTTGTCTTTCGGATTGTTGGATCCAGAATATTGATAAATTAGCAAGCCGTGCAAGTTAGCCGTGTGGAATGTGTTTTTTTTTTTATCTAGAATTTGTTGCCTTCATATTCACTCACTCACATTCACTCATATGCAACATTTATAGATGTTAACATTTCTTTTATGTGATCAAAGATAAGTAGAGTAACATGAATATCCTTTTGTACTAACATATTAGGTGTTAAATAAATGTTTATATAGTCTTACAAATACTGCCCTCTATAAATTTATATTTATTTTAGATATTGTACTTTGTATAACTTCATGTAACAAATTAACAGTCGGGTTTGTCCATTTTTAACATATTATTATTATTACTTATCGCTAGTGGGGAGCAGAGAACATTATGCGATATTTAAGATCTGTTGTCGATTTTTCTGTAGTTTAGCATGATTTACTAATGTCTATGGAATTAATGGTGTGAGCGGCTAATGTCCTATCGCTCTTCGAAACGTCGCCCATTATCTCTGAGGCTCTGGACTTGCCTCTCTTTGGAAGCCCCATCGTTGTTTTATGTTTTCTTATTTGTACATAATGGCTCTAACTGCTGCTTTTTGGCATCTATTAACCCACTTCATGTTTTTGTCAAAGAATAGACATTGCTAATCACTGAATTCTTAATTTAACAAGATAAAATTAGGTTTGATAAATATGTTTGCACAATGTGGGTCTTGGAAGCTGCAATAAAAAGGCACCATTAACTCTGAGGCTGTAATTTGACCATAAAACCTTTAAAGGTAATGATCTCATAGTTGAAAACAACTGGATGGTCTAAAAGGTCTAGCAGTTCATATGAATTAAATGCAGCACACTTTTAGGTGACTTAAACAACAAAAAATTGACATGGGAAATTAACTGGAGGCTGGTTACTTGATACAAAATTTGTGTAAATGCAACATTATCTTGTACCATTTGAAAATCAAGTTGCGGAGTTTTGCATCAGTTCTAGCCTTGTGGTAGCTCTGAGAAGAAGTCAGCAATAATTAGAATAGTGTAACATTTTTATTTACGCATGCAATTTTAAATTCCAACAACTACATTTAACCCATCCCTTCGGGCTTAGTTGATTGCTATTCAGCACCCAGGAAGCTTTCTGTGGCTAAAGGTCTTTTTCAAATCAGTTTCAAACTGGTGAACCTGTGGCCTCTCCAGAATGCAAACTCATTGCCCTCTAACTACTAGGCCACTACTGCCTTTGCATAAAACCAGAATAAAATAAATGATGATGACTCAATAACATCTACATGTACCATCTGCTCCATATTTTTAACATGATTTGTGTTTGTTTCTTCGCAGGGCATTACCAGGCATGATGCAGTGGATAAGATCACAAAGACCTGGTGAAAACGGCATCAACATTATAACAGCAGATTTTGTTGAGCTTGGAGAATTCATCAGCGCTGTCATCAGCCTTAATTATCATCATCTGAACGAAGACGAGGACGATGATGCAACCTGAGAGGCCACAGTAGGGCATTGGAGAGTGCAGCCGGCACCACCAAATAAGGGGTGGTTGGGTCTGTGCTCTAATCCTATACTCTTTGGCATTTATTTCAGGAGGAAAGTGACATTTCGGCTCCTTTCTCTTTATTTAGGGCTATAGTGAACTGAGAGATCAGGGAGGGCGAAGAAGAGACCAAGCTTAGGCTGGTAAACATTTCACAAATGTTTGGTTGGAGCACTTAGAGAATGAGGTTTATTTGTTTCCTGTTTTTGGGATCAAGGTTTTTTTTTTATTTTTCAGAATTGATGGTTATTTTACTTACTCCCTTAGCTGTAAAACTATCAGCTTTTTCCACAAATGTACCATTTTCAGGCATACCACTCTATCAAACACATGTGTCTTAAGGCCACATTGACCCTCCAATAGCTTGACTTTTACATCAGTCTTGATATTCTAGTAACAGTTTTGCCAGAGGGTGTTTAAAATAAATGTTTAACTGAAGTCATTGGCTCGTAAATTGTAGCTAGCTCTTGTATGTCCTGTAAAGAAGATCAGTCCAAGTGCAGTCTTCTTTTTTTGTGTTTTAAACATTATGCATCTTCTTAGATATATCTGCAGGTGTTTTTCAAAACCTCCTCCTGATGTCTGAATGCGTGTGTTTAAAATGTGTTGTGCCAGTGGGTATATTCATTATACCAACAAAAAAGATTTCCATGTTTGTCCCCCAGCAGTAATCTTTCATTTAAGTTTTTGCTCAGTAATGGGATCGGAAGCTGTGGATTGATCGACTGATTAAAACCCTAGAATCGCTCATTTATAACCACACAGGAAGAGAGATTTAGAGTGCATCTTGGCTAACTGGAGAAAAGCATTAACACTGTTAGTACACACACATTTTTTCCGTCTGCACTCCACAATAATTACCCCATTTCCATGACAAGCATCTATTCACTCTGTTAGAAATGGACTAAATGCACCCATGCTGCCATTTTTAATGGTTAAGCATCAAACTGTTCCTTCTATACATGGTGGATCTTAAGATGTGATAGCAAAGTGTAAAAAATACATATTTTGATACGTGAGTACGCCCACATATCCAGCTTTTCTTTGCTGCTAGCTTGCCTTTTTGTGTGTTTGTGGTTACTGCCATACAGCAGTATATGTGAGTCACCATGAGATGTGTATTTTATAATAAAGGGTGACAAAACACCAAGCAGTCACTTAGCAACTTAAGTCATTAAATTGCATACATTATAGATTAAGCATTTTAAATTTGATCACAATAAGCTGAATCTACACCTGGCCCCTTTATGAATTTTAAGTCATAATTTGTTACTTGGTTAAAATTAATAGAGTCAATGCCATGTAAACACATGAAAACATGGTAGCTATGAAGTTCCATTAATACACTTCGGCTCATTAGTATCGCTTTCAGTCACCAACAATATTCCAGACACTGCAGTGTTTTCTCCCACAGTCGGATGTTTTGTCCCAGTTGAAGTTTCTGCAGGTCAGCCTTGATATGCTTATGATTTGTTAACTATTTTAAAAGGATATTTAAGATAATTTTGACTTTTGCAAGATTAGATTGCTGAGTCCATTTTCTCAGCTTAAGTGCTAAACTGTTAAAAATTGGGTGTGCAAAATCGCTCAGAGGAGCCCATCCGCAGGAATAACAATTGGTTTCGGGATGTTCCATATTATACAAAAAAATGTAAAGGTCTTAAACATGCAGAAAATATATCATGCAAACATCATGATTAATGTGACATTTCCTGTTGGGAATGTAAACTGTCAGGATATTCTAGGAAAGTTTGGTGTTGTCGAAAAAAACAAAAAAAAAACAACATACTCAGCTCTTTGAAATACTGAATGTAGGTTTTGTGAGCAAATGTGTCGTTTCTTAAAAGTCTGATCTGAGTGACTGACTTTCAGAACACATGTATTTTCCGCTCCAGTGCTTTCTCCTCTCCATGGTACCATGCAGCGTCAAACATTTTATATTGTGAAAGGTTTTTACATTCTACAACTGCTGAAAAAATGTAATTTACTTAAATATTCTTCTATTTCTTGTATTGATTTACAGATCTATTTGGTATTTCACTTTTTTTGCATGAATGAAAGCCCCTAGGAGGTTTCTCTAAACCTACTTTCGTTTTTACATTATAACCCTAAAGAGCATGTGTACATCTTAACTGGAAATGTTTCTCTCCTCTAAGAAAAATATCTGTTTTTTCTCAGTGCATCACCTGACCCCACCAATGAGAAAATTCCACATGGTGTTTTTAAGGACATTTGTGTCTCCACCCTGTCCAAACTGTTGTCATTGACCTTGTTTTTTGATGTGAAAAGAGTCCTTTGCTGTTGTAAATCTTCAAACTATGTTGCTCAAAATAAAGTGACTGTTCTTCGTGGAAAAAGGCCAATCAAATAAAGCTTCTATGCCTTCAGAGAAGGGTTATTCTGTGAGCAGTTTACTGAGTGCTTGCTGTCTGGTCGCTTTCTTGCTTTGCTTCTTGAAAGAAAAGACAAAATTAATAAGCTCAACATGGCTGTAATTTCATGAGCATTATTGCATTACTCCGATCTGATGCAGATTACTTTTCAGGTGTTAAGCAAGCATAGCAGCATCTTGTTTCATGTTTGTGCAGAGCAGCATCTGAAAACTACCTGTTTCCAGGGTGATGGGCAAGCAGAGAGGGTGGGCAGCAGCACCTGGTGTGACCTTGCTGAGCTTGTGTTTCAGACATTTAGCAGCCAGGTGCTGAAGAGGAAACAATAACTCTGCATTGTTCATTGTTGTGCTTGTGCATTTTTTGTTCTGTTATTATTATTATTATTTTTTGTTCTAACTCTGTCTTACTGAAATGCTTTAATAACAAATCACAGAGTGGAAGTGTTGGAATCTAATCATCATTTTCAACCAAACCTAGGCTTACCTAAATGTGTTGCACTATTTGCATAGCTAATATAATAAAAGTAAATGAAAAAAAAAATGGCTCTGCAAAGCTACCAGGGATTTGTGCAAATTATAAATTTGCCAAAAAAAGATGAGAAAATGCAAATGATTTGTTTAAGAGAGTGTGCATGTCAAATGTCTGTCTCTCTCTGTCACGCACAGCAGTGAAGAGGAGGTTGAGGTGTGGGAGGCAGAGATGGATGATGGCATTCAGACAGTTTAAAGAGGGGCAGTGGCGAGATGTGCTGCTTCATAAAACTTTGAAGTGTTTTTACAGGCACTTCTGTCTATACTTGTTAAGGTACATGTGTGCACAGGGTGACAGCTGCTCTGTCTACAGTGTGCATTTTTATTACAAAATATTTTTGCTTTTGCTTGTACAAGCTTTCACCTGTGAGAAATTACCTTTCAGGTGTTTTCCTCCATCCCTTTTGTGTCAAGCACTCCTCCAGCTCATCCTGAAGAGGATTAACATGTTACAGATAAAAGATGGATAACTGGCATAGATGGGCAAAAGAATACAGAAAAACCACTAATAAAAACATTTAAAAATGTCTGAGTCTGCAAAATAATGCAAAGAAAGACAGAAATACTGAGTGACCATCCTCCACAGAGATCAGCCCTATCAGAAGAAGCCACCTCAATCGGGCTTCCTGTGATGTCCTAAAGGGGGAAACAGATTTTCCCCCTTTAGGACAGAGATTTTTATTCTCTGGAAGAAACCCACTCAAATCAACCCAAATCAACAAGGAATAAGAAGAAAGATACATCCAGAAAAGATGCTAAAAAGAAAAGTAAATCCACTGGCTAGACAGAAGGCAGTCAACATACAGAAGTGAATGAATAAGTGAATTTAAAGAAAAAAAGGAGGCAGTACTCACAAAGATACTGCAACTGAGAAAGGAACAAATACTTCCAACAACACCACGGATTACAGTGGCCCTGAGGTGCAAAACACAACACAAAAAGAGAAAACACAACGGCAAGTCAGACAACACAACGGCAAATCAGAAAACACAACACAAAAAGAGAAAACACAACACAAAAAGGGAAAACACAACACAAAAAGAGAAAACACAACACAAAAAGGGAAAACGCAACACAAAAAGAGAAAACACAACACAAAAAGGGAAAACGCAACACAAAAAGAGAAAACGCAACACAAAAAGAGAAAGCACAACGGCAAATCAGAAAACACAACGGCAAATCAGAAAACACAACAAAAAAAGAGAAAACAACACAAAAAGAGAAAACACAATGGCAAATCAGAAAACAACACACAAAAAGAGAAAACACAACACAAAAAGAGAAAACACAACAGCAAATCAGAAAACACAACACAAAAAGAGAAAACACAGCGACATTAACCAAAACGGAAATGCTAGGTACCCTTGGGCGACAGGAAAACGACAGACGGGGTTTGTTTCCATTTTTCCAAATCATGTGCGCCACAAATGACGAGGTACATGCTGCTATTAAGCAATACTTTGATGCCGGTGTTGTGCGAAAAAGTGAATGTCTGCGAGAATCTGATTGCGCTCGCGGGAGCGCACACCGCAGCCCACTGAGCGGTAGCGTAAACCTGCTTTTCTCTGGATTAAACGGTCATGACATGCAGATACACACAGTTGCATTGTAATATAGGCCTAATTAAATTATAATATAGGCCTAATTAAAGATTCGAAAGCTTAACGTTTGTCACATAACGGCAGTTACGTGATAGACATGTTTCTATACTCGGTCTGATGACTTTGTGTAGCCCTGACATTGGAGACTACACTACAATAAATATGATTTACTGGAGGGGTTTCAATAAAGATATGATACCTTTTGCAACGATCCTCGTGACTCTGCATTGTGTTTTATCTGATCTGGCCGTATATAGCACGAGTTTCCCATGTTTCTATGTGTTTTGCAGTTTTCAATCGGTTTTCACCTGTCAAAAATTGATTGAAGGCACAGTATAGTCACTCAAAGGTTATTTCTACCTAAATATGTCTAGATTTCCTTCAGGAGATGCATGATTTAAAGATCCGAGCTCACAAAACAGCTTGGAACTCTTTTAAAGGACCATTACAACACAAAATAGCCATTTTGACTTGCAAAAAATGTATTAAAGCCCAAATACTCTCATTCAAAGGGGATATCTGCCCAAATATGACTTGATTTCATTCAGAAGCATCTTATTTTAAATAGAACAAGTCCTTTTTAGGCAAAAATCACCTTTCTTCAACCACATTTGGCCTTTAATCCATTTCTAGCAGGGCGTTTTGATGTCAGCCGACTTGCTAGAAACTGATTAAAGCCCAAATACTCTCATTTAAAGGGGATATCTGCCCAAATATGACTTGATTTCATTGATCTGTGTTTCATGATCTTGTTCAAGTCATGTTTTCACTGATGAGTAAAGACAAAGCTAACAGGGTGGCATGGGCGTAGGTTTGCATAGGGACCATAGGGACATGTCCCTACCAAAATTTTGGACCGACCTATTTGTCCCTACCAATAATTCGATGTGAACAACATGTTTATAATTTACTATACAGCATTGTTGCAGCACCCGCGTCTTTTCCTCTCGCAGCTCCTCTGCCTGGTAGCTGCAGCTGCCTGGTCTTTCCTGTCCCATTCACATAGCAGCGCATCAACTGTGCTGCGCTGTTTAACTCTCTGATTATTCTGCCTTTAGTTCCGCCTTCTCTCTTTCAAATTGCGTGTTTTCTAGTCTGTATGTGTGTGCGCGTGGGTGTTGGGAGCGCAAAAAAAAAAAGACGCTAAAACAAATTAATATTGGGCTACGAAACTAGTCCAAATAAGGCTTTCTGTGAGTAAAGAAGACAGAGGCAGGTTAGAATTCAGTTTCTCTCTAGAGTCTACTGTGATTCACTATATTAACAGAGGCTTAGGTTTGCTAACCAAACTTGGTCAAACACTCCGGCGTCGAAGGAAGGTCTGACTGCTGCTTATGAAGGAAGGTCTCCTGAGGGGCTGATGAGCTTCAGGTGTGCTGGAAGCTCCAGCCCAGGAGACCCACAGCGCTCTCTGCTGGAGACAGATGGTAGATCTCCAGATCTCAACAGTAACCACAGTCCTAACAGAAAACAAATAAAAACAGAAGAGGATCATCGGCGCCCTCTGGTGGGCAAGCCTCAGGATCCCAACAAAAGGCTCCTTAAAGATCTTTTATGAAATGAAACCAGGTGAAACAGAAACATTTCCTCTTGAAGAGTTCTGAATGGAGAATATTGACAGACAAAAACTTTTTTCTAATTTTTTTTCATCTTAAATACAAAATGTTTACATATTTTTTACAATCTTGGTATAATTCCTGCTCTAAGTAGGTCGCTTTGTCGGCTAAAGGCAAATTTTAGTGGCCTTATACTCCAATTAACGATTAATCAATTACTAAATTAGTTGACAATTGTTTAAATAATTTGTTAATATGATGA